GTCACGGGTGAAGAACCATATTTTATCCTATTTGAAAGTTCTTTTCCTAATTACTTTTAATACTTCATCGGTTATCTGACATATTTTGTAGCAGACAGTGCTGAAATCAGTTAATGTCATAAAGTGACTGTAAAAGTTTATTGAAATTGTATATCATTTTGCTTTTCTTGGTACAGGCTGACTCATTTTTTAAATGGACAATTGCATCAAATTTTTTTACAGCAGCATATAAGTATCCTAGTATCACAAAAGCATGTTTGGGTTCAGTAAGGTTCCGATTTTGCATCATGTTTTCAATGTATTTAATTTGCGTGTTTGCTACACTAAAAAACCTCTAACTGAATTCAATAATTTTCATAGACTTTGCGGATAAGTTTGAAGCTTTAGACGTAATCAGGTAATCAGATTTTTAATTATTAAAAGATGTGGAAAACGTGTGTGTTGCAAAAATCGAACCCTTACTGTACATTTATTCCATAAAACAGTTAGAGTGGATCTTGGAACTTCGTTTCCTTATAGAAAAATATCAGTGCCGTATTTTTTTTTATTTCACCATTAGGGCTTTTTCTTTTTTTAAATCATATCTTTTGAACCACTAGACCTATTTAGTGGATCAAACTGATCATGGGGCCTCCCTTAGCTCAGTCGGTAAAGGCGCAGCTACAAAGCAAGACCATGCTGGAGGTGGCTGGGTTCAATTCCCGGTCCGGTCTAGGAATTTTTCGGGTTGGAAAATTTCTCGACTTCCCTGGGCATAGAAGTATGATTGGACTTGCCACACAATTATACCAATGCAAAAATGGTACAGGCATCGAAAGCTCTTAATTAATAACTGTGGAAGTGCATCTAGAACACTAAGTTGAGAGCACGCAATAAGCTAATATGTGATATGCAATAAGCTTGAAATGCGAAGAAGAAGAAGAAGAAGAAGAAGAAGAAGAAGAAGAAGAAGAAGAACTGTCAAAGGAAAGATTATTAAATCTAAATTTTGGCTATTCCACAATTTAAAAAAAATAGTTTTTTGATTTTGCTTATAAACTGCTATGAGCCTTCATTATTCAAAATTTAATATTGTTAAAGAAAATTAACTCAGCATTATTGTTATGTTGGGTACAAATTTGCAATTTTAAAATATAACATGCAATAGTGCCTTCTGGTCTCGAGGCCATGGAAATCATGAAAATAGATTATAATCAATGTTTTGAAATATAAAATTGAAGTCCATATTAATAAAAAAAAAAATCGTTCTAGTGGTTCAAAAGTTATTTAAAAACAGTGAAAATTTGGGGAAATGCTTATTTTTCGGACCACTTTAACATGGAAGTGGCCACTCTAATGACGGAATTAAAAAAAATACGGGCCTAATATCTTTCGATTGGGATAAAAATTGTTAATTGTTACGGAATTCTAAGGTCCACTCTAACTTTTTTTTATGGAACTGCTGGTATAAGAAAATTGTCTAACGTTGTTATAAATTCCTTCCAGTTTTGAGATATCATAGGATAATAAAAAAAATATCATTTTAAATGGTATGTCCTCCCTGCATAATATTTTTGATGTTGTGACAAAAAAGATCAATCTATTTCGTTTATTTAAAAGGCTCAATCACGTTAGCTTTATCAATAATTCATTATTGTAACTTACAAGTTATACTTAACTCTACGATGGGACCGATTACTCGCGAGGCGTTTGATAATCTCAAATCATAACTATCAACGAATCAGATTATCTAGCACTGTTTGCAAGTCTTTTTCATATAATTTTCTATTTCATGATAATTTTTTTCGTAAATATACACCCAAATTTGGGCCAAAGCATAGAACTTGCATTAGATGTCATGCACAAGGAGATTGAAAGCTTATGAGCTTTAAAATGCGAAACTAGTTTTACTCCGTCGAAGTGGCGAGCAATCATAATGAAGGATGTGATTTCAACCACAGTTATGAATAACTCCGTACAACACGTCACGTAATATACAATAACATACAGAATTCGATATCAAAATGAGTTGCAATGCAGTGCAATGCGTGTTTCACATCCGCTATAATAGTGCCTACATTTAAGAATGTGTTGACAAGAGCCGTCCCCCAAAATGACAATCCTCATAATAGATAATAATAATAAAAATTGCGCAAAGGATTTCAACGTTTATGCGTATGTGACCCACCATATCCAATTAATAAGCTTTTGTGGCCAACCTTAGTACAACTCATATTGACTATTGAGTTAAGTTTAGAAAAAAAACTAAAAGATACTAACAACTTAGAATAAGGAGTCGCAAGAATGTCTAAGGGCGCTAGCTATTTCTCACTCGGGTCGGCGTTTTACGTTTACTCTGCTATTGCCCTAAGGCGTAGATCTACGTGTGTTTTTTACGTGCGTCAGCATCTCTTAGCAAAGACTGACGGAAATCATAACCCCAAAATACAGACCAGTGCATAAATGAAAATTTAGGGATAAAGGTTGAAAATCAATATCATTCTAACTTCGGCACTAGTTTCCTGATTTTGTTATGGTTAGTTTGATAGCAATGAAAGAAAGATATAAATTTATTACAAAATTTAGCAAAACTGGTAAAATGTTGGTCAGTACTCTGGTTTGTTCACTTCATCAATTTCATTACAGTAAAGACAGGCTTGTTTACTATAGTCATAGAAACATATTTATTTCAATTTTCCAAGTCATTTATTTAGTAATGGTATGTTCAGAATTGAGAGTTCAAGGATGTTATAAAACTATCTTGATCATTAATATAACATGTTATTCCTCTGTAGTCTGAACATATAGCATAAGGCTCATGTGTCATAACAACTAATCGGAAACAAGTACAATAAATATAAAAAAATACATATGTATTCATGAGTTCTTCATTTTCTTCTTGAGAGGCGACTTGAGTAAAGCTTCTATTTCTATATTGCCCGCAGCTCCTTCAATTCTTACGAACGTTTTTCCATCACCAGTTCATTAAATAGATTCAGGTCCAATATTGACTTTCTCAGATTCGTGACTCGTGTTTGTCAATGTGTAGCAGGTTTTTCAAAGGAAACCGCATAATATCAGTTCTCTGAACCATATACTTTCTGAGATACAGGCTGACAAATGTATATCATTGTAAAAATCAATAATAGGGGAAATGGCTCTAATGTTGGCCTATGGATTTAAGATTGGGCTTATCGCTAAAAATCTGCTATTTATCAATTTTATCTGGATGAACGCGTCATTGAGACAGTACTAATGGATATTTTTGGACGCAATTGAAAATTTATGCATGGGTCCAAATTAGGGACATTTAGGCCGACATTACGTACATTTAGGCCCTAAATTAAATCAAAATTTGTTTCTACGTTGAAAAGGTCTTTTCAAATCCTTGAAGATTTTCCTGAAAGCATATATTTTAAGCTTTTAATTGAGGTAGCTGTACTCGACCATTAAATGTATGAAATTTTGGCTAATAAAATAATGATTTGTCTTAGCTTAAATATACTACAAAAAAAATTTATGTTAATGTTAACATTCGGGGCATCCACGTAGATAATAATCTTTTGGAAAGAGTTGACATCAAACTTGGATGCGCATAGTTATGTTTCTGCACTTACGGTTGCTTGAACAACATGTATGTGGGTCACTTTTATTGGTAATAGATCTAATATTCGACCCTTTTGTTCACGGCCGAATATTGCTTACACAATTAAGCAGCTTTTTGGTCATTTGTTATGTACAAAAAGGCCACGAATCAAATAACACATCAAAAGAGACACGATTTAGTTCTTGTTAGTCCATGATTTCATCCCAAACAATAAAACAAATATTTTGAATAATTCGCTGAGTAATCCAGATCGATAGTCACCTCGTATGAAGATTGTAAGATTCAAGACTCAAAACATTATTCAGACTGTAGAAGGAAACTTTTTCGGCAAATTATTTAATTTATGGTCATGAAAATGTGATCACTAATATTTCGCGTTTTATCTTAACCATGCTATGGTGAACACTTGCAAATCTAGAACGGTGACTTCTAGTAATGAAAAGGCGTTTACTACGTATATCACTGTGAATGCATTTTCATGTCCCCAAATTTGACTTGCAACGAAGGACTGATTTGTTTTTTTTTTAATTATCCGGGGACTCTTCCACCTTAATATAATCAACTCACGATTTTTTATGACTTTATTATTTTTAAAACTCGAAGACACAAACTTTGTATTAACTTTTGAAACAAGGAGCTTCAATTTTTCGATGATTATTTAAAATATTTCATGATTTCTACAAGCATATTTAAAAGGTCCTTCTCCTTGCACTCCATCATCGCAAAATGAGAGTCAAAGAAATGGGTGCCAATACTTTAAAAAAATATAACTTTCACTGGAGAAGTGATCTGACGGAAAATCGGTTGTTAGGAAAAAAAAGTGGTTCATTGTCACTTTAGAAGACGGCTTTTGTCATACATACGGGTTATGTTATTAGCATCCTCTATTATGACACATACATTCATGGAAGCAGAGGAAAAGAACTCTGTATTCGAGGGCCTGATGGCTCAGCGGTGAAATGATTTATATAATTTTTAAATTTCATGACGATATTCGTTCAATTGCCTGTTATGGCATTATTTCTGTTCAACATCATGAACACTATCTCAACGCTTGTCCATACTAGCCACGATTAAATTAATTGGATAATCACGTAAATTTTTACGTGGATTGTATACAAATATGTGTGCAGAAATGCAAAGATCTATTTTTGGGTGTATTCTTTTATATTATGTAAATTTATTTTTTAATAAAATGTAGTTTTATCATTTACTTCCTCCAATGCATGAATACAATTATAATTAATGTCCTTGCTTACATTTATCGTAAAATCGAATCATTTCTGCTCTGATGACATTTTAATTCATACGACTTCTGAAAGTTTTAAATAAATTTACAAATAACCTCTATTTTCTATGTAATCCTGATATTGTTCTCATTGAGCTTTGCTTCTCTTTATCTGTTTCATACAAGAAAACACGTGAAAAATTTAACAATGCTAAACAAAATTCAAAAAAAGGAAAAGAAAAAATGTTTACACTGTTTAAAAAACAGTTTCGCTATTCAATGGACCAATATAAACAATCGGATATAGTAGAAAGCTGCTATCAGATAGAATGGCGAGGTGAATCAACTGAAGAAGTGATGTAAATTAAATTGGAAAGATTCCACTTAGATTCTATTGTTAAACAGTAAAGTGTTTTCAAAGAAGTGTATCAAACAGGAAATTAATTATAAATGTTAAGTGATCCAGATAGTCGTGCTGATTTGAAAACGTTTCGGAGTGCCTCAATAGTGAGTTCAATATTGGACACTGGTGGATCAACAAAATTCCATCCATTGGATCCTAGTGTGGAACTTGAGCTTGAATCACCGGATACTCCTCAAAGAAGGGGTATTTATGATTCTGGTCATCATTCACACATGGGAAGAGCCGCTTCCGCTAGGAGCTTAGTCGATACTAGGAGAGGAATTCAACACAAAAGGTTTGCTTACTGTCCTTATTATGTAATGCAACTGCCACCTGTTCATGTCTACTGCTATAAGCCTTTTCCAATATGACTGTCCAAATTTCACTGCTTTTTTCATTTCATTGTAGGTATTTGACTCTTGATACCTGTAATTTAGTTGCCTTCAACGTTGTACCGTATACCCTAATTGAACTCGCTGTGTTTGTTTCAGTCCTTTATTGTTGATATTAGGACTTTTGCTTGAAAAGTATTAGTTGATAATGATTGATTGAAATGCGATTTATTCGTGCTTTATGACATATTTGTAATGTATCGTTGATTACATAGTTGATTATTGTATGATGTTGTTTTCCTACTAGAGATCCTGAATTTTACATAAGAAACGACATCTCATACCGAATAATCCAACCGCACAGAATCGTCAATCAAAAGTGGTTCCAGTTGATCTTTTCTTGTTTTCGGAGTTATTGGTAACAAATTTGTTTTATTTTTTTTTGTTTTTGAATAATATTTGCAAATATACCATTAACACCTATTTACATTTGTATTTCAAGCTGATTTACCACAATACACTCAAATCTGCATTAAGCAATTTTTTTCGCTTCTATTTTAATTCGTTTGATATCAACTATCGACTAGGTGTGTTATTAAAAATGCTGTACCCATCGTGCATGAGGGCAAAATCTAAAAAAAAAAATTGCAAAAAAACATAATTGAGTGTATTTTTTGTTTAGTGTTACTTAGTTATCCTGTTATGAGTGTGTTGTGTAAATACAGACAGTTGCATGTGTTGAGATGTCGCTTCTACCTACCTTCAAAGTTTTTTTTTTGTTAAATTGCATGCGTGTTCAATCCTGTTGTAAATGTTTATGGATGTTGCAAACACTTTGAAGCAACCATATAATTTAAAACAGTATTGGTGTTGGTCGAGGACTATAATTATATATCCATTATTTTTTTCTATTCTCAATAATGGTTCAAAATTTTTATTTGTGTACATTAAAGTAGAAACATAAAGCGTTACAATAAGCCAACTTGAATAAGTGCGCCAGATTTTTCAGTGGTGCTACAGTAATTGGCTTGAACACATTTAAAAATAAACTAACACAAATAATAATGCTGTTAGAATGCTTGTTATTAGTAAACTGAAACCAATCCCCAATAAATCTTCTATCTCTGCTATAATGTTAAAGCATCTTAATTAATGTGGTGTATTATGTGGTGCATATTTTTACATGAAACATACGTTCCAAAACCATCAAAACAAAAATTAAAGGTACAATTGGGATATTCATATATATCTGTGCATGGGTGCGAGAATAATTTCTATAGCATAGTTTTTATATAAATAGTTACTAAATTCATAGCCTGGTGGATATAATGATGATAGCCATTTTGAACTTACCCTTGCTGGAGCCAATGGGATATGGCAGTTTCATATTAGATCAATTCTCACCACATATTGTATTGTAAACAAATTGAAAAATAGCAGATTTGTTCAGATGTTGATTGATAAATGTGGAGGCGACCCCGGCGTAGTGGTTATTAGTTAAACATAAGTCTCACGCGTCACGAGTTGAAATCTCATCCTCGGACAAGTCAAGAGTGACCCAAGAGCGTAAATGTGACGATAATATATACAATAAAAATGATAAATGCACTTTCTTTGCATTTTTTTTACGAGGAACAAACAGAAAATAATTTACTTTCTGATATGTTTATGGAAGTAATTGCTACAGATATATTAACATTCATTTCGTACATTCAATTACATTTTTTTTCTCTGTTCGAGACCTAACACCACTGCGACCAGTAATTTGATCTATTGTAGTGTATCCCGTGTCCTTAGTTTAGTGCATGTCGTATTTCTGTTCACTATTCACTATTGAGAAATTATGAAGCATTCGATTTTTTTTACAGTTGTCATTCTTGCATTTATCGCAAGGATCCGACTCTAATTGAAAGGTGCTGCTCTTTATACCCTTCGGAGTGTTGAAAAAACCCTCCAAAGGCGCGCCCCTTTGTCAGTCAAAATTGGATTCCTTAGCAACAAAATTAAGGAATGACAGTGATAGTAACCATGCATCAGAACCCTAGTTTTAACCACTTCAAACTAGGGAACAACGAATAGAATATTAGGAATCACATAGATGAAGACTAACTAACTCATTATTTTTCTTGAGTTTCAAGATCATCATCGGTGGACAAAGCCGAGTCTTGTCACTATCAACAAGGCCTAAAAAGTAACAAGGACTAAGATGTGTTCCTTTGATTACTGAAAAATTCTGTTCCGCAAGTTTGAAGTAGTCAGGACTATGAATCGGTGGTATAAGATCATCCCGTAACGTACCACGAAAAGGTGATCTACCCACGATACAGGGCATTCATTTACGTTCATATGTCTCTAACTTTTTTCATCAACAGAATTCCGTTAAATTATGTTTGAAGCTTTTGTAGGTTTTGCTATTAAGTACAACTTTTTTTTTTAAATCCTCAATTTGTATCTTTTTTGCATGATGAACCAGAGAGAACCGAACCCACAATTGTTTTTAGTTGAATGTACATTACATTCACTGAAAAACAATAAAAAGTTCTGCCCGTTCTAGTTCGTCATGCAGAAGAGATTCAAAATTGAGTTTTTGACAAAAGTTGTAGTTAATATCAAAACATACAAAAGTTTTATGCGTCATTTTACGGAATTCTGTTGATGAAAAAAGTTAGAGGCAAATGAATGTAAATGAATGCATGAAATGAATGTAAGTGATTTTCCATGCCTGTAGGCATGTAGATTCCAAGAAGTTATTTGTGGAAATCTGCACCCAAGTAACACTCATATGTTCCATAAATGCACTAACAACATAACACAAAACTTTCCTCGATTAATATGAACTATGCATTTTTTCAATTTACACAGTTTTTAATCGTCCAAAACCATATCTCTCCCAAGTAACATAGATTATGCACTTTAAAAGTTATACAAACGTACATCTTACTTTATACTACCACTGCAAATAGAATGATTATAATAATATTTTTTTTAAACATGTAAAATAATCAATATTTTGTTTTATAAGACTTGTGCTTTTCTAGTTATATAAATTTATGAAAAAAGTATGCATATGTCATAAACACGAAATTTACTACTGTGAGCTACTTTTTGCGCGTTTTGATTTCTCTAAAAATATTGTTAAATGATATCAACAATCTGAAAACATTCTAGTGCAAATCTAATGAAATTTGTAATATTTTTGTTCCCAATTATTAATGATGCACCGAATATTAGGCCACATGCAGTCTTTGCAGTCTCAACAGAAATGGCCAAATATCAGTTAACATGTTGGTGTAAACGCCGAGTACCCCTAATACTATTCGGTGAATCACTACTAATTATCTCGCTTCAACCACTGTACCTTATGGTGAAATTTAATGAGATCAATGTACGAGTCATTGTATGAACATTGCGTATCCCGTGCTAAATTTGAATTTTTCTCATTTTAGTAATATGTTTGAATGTTGGATGCTCAGAAGTTAGATATGATAGCTTTTTCTATTTTTTATGTGACCGGAAGCCGCCATCTTAAATTTGAAAATAACGTAAGATATGGATTTCTGGTCCCCACACGTCACCCGATTCCAAAAATATCCATATTGTGGGGTACTTGACAATAATTTCAAAAACTTTTTTTTTTTCGAAGTAATTCCCAAATAGCGAGTTTTTTTTTACGCACCGAGTCGATTTGCGAACCCACAGTTTGGTTCGTAATTGAAGGTTCCGATTTAATTACATTGCATTGTAGCGTACTTGAATTTCATCTACTCAAATACAAGGAACTGCAGGTATCGCCTAAAAGTGAATGATTAATGTGATTTATTTGAATTGTTTATGCATGTGAAACAAAACAAAACAAGTTTTAATATTATTTTGAAAATCAATCACAATTCCACCTGTGTGCCATTAAATGTGATATTAAATAGCAGCTATGTAAACGTTCCATTAAAACAATGAAATGCTCCTTAAACCTTTGATAAACGCTCCATCACTTCATAGCTACTCATATTTACTGTCCTTAGTGTGTTATTTTAATCAGAGGAGCGGAGTGACGGGCAAGCATCTTGAATAAGCTCCCAAATGAAGCTTATTTTAGAATATTTTTAGAAGCTTCTTTTTATTTTGGATCAGCCAACTCGATTGAGCTTAGAATATCAGCATCACGAATCAAGTTAGTATTATGGAGATATTCATTCATGGAATTATATGTGCATCGTAGGCATATCAACTAGATTACCACAAAACAATCTAAAAGTTCATATTTTAAACAGACTAACATCCAGACTAGTGCCTTTAGGTGAGATAACCTTTCTCTGTTTTGTTTATTGTACCACGGGCTGGCGCTTTTGGTTTAAAGATTATGTAAGGGATTTGGTTGAAATGTTCATATACCAAATACTCATATATGTACATCTCAAAGCGAATATCTCAATAAAATTAACTGGATTCATGATGCGGCAAAGTTGTTACTATTTTTTTGAACTACAAGATTTGGTATACTGAATTAAATGAGAACAAGGAAACTTTTTTACTATTGAAACAGTGTAGGGTTGTAATTTTTAATATATTATATCCAAAATTTCCACACAAAATTAAAATTTAAAGCTTCAACTCAACTCTACCCTATGAGCTAAATCTTTCGGATAATAGTTTTCTCACTTAAAGGAGAAAATCTAAAGGTTGGCCCGTGGAAAATTACAACTTTTTTTTTGTGGGCTATATTCACCTACGCATAAGACTTAACCTTTGAATTAGTTTAAGATTTAAGCATAGGTTATGAAATCGACCCTTAGTTTATTTTATACTTTTGAAAAAGCTTATTATTAAAAGTTAAAGTATCAAAAATTTACATTTTTAAACATGGCCTTATCTTGTTTTTAATAAAAATGAAAGCAACATAGAATCAGGATTCATTAGTTGGATTAAACAGTCCACTGACCTTTTTTTCAAAACGCTCCGCTCAAAACATTTGGATATAGCCCACGGGTCGTACGTTGGGAAGGCCTGAGGCCTTAAACTCCAATTCAGAATATGTTGGAAGTTTCCGTTTAACGGTATGGCTAGTTATTAATATTATTTCATGTTTAAAAGCAAAATGAAAATGATTTGATGTATTTGTATAGATTGTTAAATTACTTTAGTTTTTTTTTTTCATCTTTTTATACGTTTCTTAGATTTGCCTTTAGTGCTAATAGGCACAGATTCAGACTCTCAGGACTTATCAACTCGGTAGTTCACAGTTTCTTGACACCCAATCAATATTTTTCACTAGAATAGAAATCACCAGCATAGAAGGCTTGCTACTTAGATTTAGAAATAATGATAATGCTAATGCTGAAGTTTATAATCATCAATGCATTTATCGCAATGAAGTAGAATAGTGAAATTGCGAGTTGTACACTAAATTAGCCATTTGTAATATTCTATCCTTAGGAAAAGCTCAATCCGAATCTAGCATGCGTACTTTTGAAAAACACTGGTACCGATAAACACAATCTTGTCACAAACACGGCATCTTAAAAACAATTAAGTTAAACCTGCACCAGTGGTGAGTTAATTGCATTGAGGATCTCTAATTTATTCTATTCTTTACCAACTTTCTTCTTATTTTACGTTGTTTCAAATTTAATTTCTTATGTATACAAGATTTCTGTACACTACTTTTTGCGTTATTTTTCAACTAACGATGCTAGGTTGATGATTTAAAAGAAACATGTTGCAGCCGAAAGATCGCTAATTAAAACTAAGAGTTGACCAGCCTACGAAAATCTTTAAAATAAAAATAAGCAATGTTTTAATAAGGCGAAACTGCTTTAGACTGATGCAACATTTGAAGTTTTCGCTTCACAATACTCAAACGAGCCCTGAGTAGCCTCCCAAAATGTAATCTCATTTGGCTCACTTGACTTGGCACGAACCATTTGAAATTTATATGGAAATTACTATGGGAGAACTTTTTTTTGTCGATTGACTTTTTGCGTTTTTCCTATTGCTCTTATAAAATATACTAAAAAAAAAAATTAAAAAATTTAAATAATATACTAATTGCATGATCAAGCGGCTGTTTTGTGGGCAACACTGCAATGTGCAGTGTGACATAGTAGCACAGGACTGCAATGTCTGTCATCTGGGAACAACTCGAGTGAAGCCAAATTTCTCTGGTGCTCTGGTGCTCATTTGACAGCTCCTCCTTTTCCTCTATGATTAAGCTTGGTACATGTCGCGCCGCGTTGCGGAAAATAGATAGAGTTTTCTAGATAACGTTATAGGCGAGCATGATTCACGCAAATTGTGCTCGTCAATTCGAAAACAACTAAATAATTTTTTAACTGTCCATTGCGGGAAAGTAAGAATGGTTTTGAAGGCATTACATTTGTTGGCACATTACCGCATTTAATGTTACATGATTGGAGCTTAAATATGTTAATGTTGATATGCTGATGTTTTCGGCGGTTTTAAGAACTGGATCGCATTGCAGGGGGTTGCATAGTAGCCATGATTGTTGTGCTCTATTTCACGCGCGACGTAAATGTTGCCTGCTGAGCAGTTGATTGAGCAAGATCATCAGACGCCAACGTCGAAGATGATTAATATCTTTTATATCTTACCCTCAATCGAAAAGTGGTTTCCGGCAAAGTGTGCAAAGTAGCTGAGTAAATTGCCTACAACCACAGCTGTCATTTTTTAAACAACGCGATATGGTGAATTGTTAGATACGATCAAAAAGTTTTCTTCCGATAGTTTTTTCCGTATAACCTTCAAATGGTTTATGTCAAGTCAGTTTCTTGCCGAAAGAGATCTAATTTTGGGAAGCTTATAAATATCCAGTGTGAAACCGATTGAACACTCTGAAGCGAAAATTTCAAACTTTGCAACAATCTAATGTACCAATGTACATAGACCACCGATTTCTCGCAAATTAGAGCTCACACAAACTAACAACACAAACAGGTAGCGGAATCATTCTTGTATCAGTTGAGCAAATCCCCAAATAGCTTAAAACAAAGAAATTTCTAACAGCCTTTCAGATTTCCTAGAAGTTAAAGTGATGTACTAGACTCCGGCAAAAAAGAACTATAATATTATATATACTATGATAAAGTTTAAAGAAAAAAACTTGTAAGCTACAAGAGAAGGTTGATGCCTCTACTTAATTCCAAGGGACCTGGGTTCAATTCCAGTCGGTGCCGTCGGGATTTTCTCTTATAAAGAAAGTTAAAAAAAAAATATACTGAAATATGATGAACTGTTTTCGGTTTTCATCAGTTTTTTATGTGTCTATTTTGAAAACTCCAGATAAATTAGAAATTTTGATAATTGTAAATTTATGAAAAGTACTCAATACGTAAAATAGAAGAGTTTTAAAGCTTCTGTCTTACATGGTACATGTTCCTAACCTGGGTCTAATAAGTTGCCACTACTTATGATTCTTATCATTAATTGACCTGCAGACGAAATTCCACTGCCAAAATATGTGTCAATATACGCTTATCATTTCCGTAACAATTGGGCACGATAAATAGTTACTAAACTTACCATTACCTCATGAAAACTTTTAAGAAACATGAATTTAATGTTGGTTGGAAATGCTAGCATGAAGCTTTAGTGTGATAATTTATTAGCTAGAGAATGATCTTTAGAAGAGGGTAGGTGGATAGGTCAAGAGGAGCACTACAATAGTTAGGTAAAGAAGAATTTCATTATAACACACCATCGACTGGAAATGCTCTCGCAACGTGGGGCTTTAGGTAGTGATGAAACGTCGCTAGAACTATTCCACAGCCGCAGTCAGTAATGAGCAAAAGAAGGACGCGTATCTTTTGCCTGTAGACTTGAAGACATACTTCAAGTCTCCGCGTACATCGCACGAGTTAGGCAAAAGATGTGCGTTTGACTTTATACTGTCGCATTAATTGCCCTTCGCTCATTTTCAACTTCTATTCAATTTTCATACTGCCGTACTCTAACGGAACTATCCACCTACCCTCTTCTAAAGATCATTCTCTAGCTAATAAAGTATCACACTAAAGCTTCATGTTAGCATTTCCTCTTTCTCTCTCTCTCTCCCTCTCTCTCTCTCTCTCTCTCTCTCTCTCCCTCTCTCTCTCTCTCTCTCTCTCTCTCTCTCTATCTCCATCTCTATCTACCTTTCCCACACACACACACCCACGCGCACCTTGAACTCGGATATATTCCTGTTTTTCAAGCGAATGTGTACACCGATTGAGGATTTTATGTTGTTTGTCCGTATAAACCATTATTGCCTGACATTTTTTTTAATTGAATGTTACTTGAACGTTAGAACATAATTTACGAGTATACGTGTGTATAGCTGTCGTATTGTTATATATTATTAAAAAATAAGATGGCTTCAAATCGTTACATAAAAACTAAAAATTATTATTGAATGCCTACATATAATGAAACTTTTGTTTTTTTTTTATCAGATCATTTTCCAAGAAAGTAAAAACACAGCTGGTTGAAGGAGTGCCATCCTATTTTCGCCGAAATCAAGGGGGGCCGCCACAAAGAGCCCCCATTAACTCACCATCCAGTAGTAATATGGAGTTTTTAAGAGGCGTTTATGCGTTTATGCAAGTGAGCAGATCATCGGTAAGTACTCACAGTTATTAATTACTAATTATTATTATTAATTGTATACTGAAAATTAAAATTTATCATACTCGCTCCATACACAGGATCCCTCATTCAAGGTTTACAACTGAAGTAGAAAGATCGGTTTTTTCGTAAGAGTGTTCAAAACGAACATTTCCGCAACAAATGGTTTGAGAAGTTTTGCCATTGCAATTCTTTAAATACCCCATGATGGTATGAAGCACAAGCTTCCTGATGACATATCAAAAGTATGATACTCCAAAAATCATCATCAAGAAAAACGATACAGTTTACTCCACTATAAAAGAATTTTGCTGCTATTATTATCAAGGTGTAGTACACGGGTACACGGAAAGAGGTCAATAGCAAAACCAGAAAAATTGGTTTAGTTTTTTTTTTTTTGAGGCTTCATAAAATGAGTGCGCCTACATGAGAATCACGTAGTTCTTACGTGAAAAGTACGATCGAAAAAATCTGCGTATTTTTTCACGTAACATTGACGCGAACATTAGTTTGAGTGTAGGATATATGTATTGAGTATAACAGCTTTGTTATTCGAAATTAGGCGTTCTCTTTCACTTCATCTTCTTTTTCTTCTTGATTTTTGCTCTTTTCGACGTCTTTACGCCTGCTCTCAACTTCGTATTCTTGAAGCACTTCCACAGTTGTAAATTGAGAGCTTTCTATGTTAACCAAAGCATGAATTGGTATATTGTTGAATTTTGAAGCCTAACATTTTTCTAGACTGGACCGGGAATCAACCCAAGCCCTGGCTAGGCTACCTAAGGCCACTAAATGTTCCTGTTTCTTTCAAAATGGCCACCTCTAATAGCAGCTGGTGGAATGCCACTTTCGATGTGAAACCTAATAAAACAAATTTCAAAGAAACGCCATTTTCGCAATATCTAAAATCAGACTTCTAGATACGCAACTAAATTCAGAGATTTAACACAATAGTGAAACCAACTTCAAACTTTAAATAAAATATATTGAAATTGTTTTAACGCTCGGTTAAATCTCAAACAGCCTATTATCTCTGCAAAATATCTGTTTTTAGCTGATAACTCAGCAAAAATCTGTTAGTCTCGGCAAATTGTTAAGTGGAATGAAAAGGAAAGTGCGAGCATTCGGGATGAGAGACGAAATTGAACAAAACAAATTTTGTAAATCATAACTCATTAGTAGTTTTCATCCTCTGAAGAATTCAAGAAAATCCGATGTGCCATTTTTATCGAATACTCCCTTTAATGTATTAAAAATAAGCAAAACGTCCACATGCAGATTAACGTACCTTTACAAGACCTGCTCACAAAGAAAGTGGAGATAAATCATAAATCTTTAGAGAGAATATCTACTCACAGCGCCGCCGGTCGTGTAGTGGTAAGCGTGGTTACCTCTCACCCCAGCAGGCCTGGATTCAATCCCAGTCGGCGCCGCCGGGATGTTCTGAGGCATAACATTTCTGATCACGCCTTTTTTCTGAAGGGAAGTAAAGCCGTTGGTCCCCGGTCCATGAGTTGATGAGTCGATAGGTGGGGTCCAGGTATGGAAGCTGCCTCCCTGGCGTCGGTAGCGTGCTCAGTACGAAAAACATCGAAGAAAAACAAATCAAGGAAAAAAAATATCTAATCACCCATCAGACATTCTAATATGGAAATGAGTATTAAGCAATGATATTGATGTTAAATGAAATATTCAATAAATGCAAAAAATCCACAATTGTCTTCACTTCGAACATTTGAGTTGTGTTGCAGAAGTACAGTTTAAGGAAGCTTTCACCATTAAGCCACGGTTTTCAAAGTACGTACAAAATATGTTAACACTTGTTTGAAAGATCTTTTAGAGTCAAAATTTTCCAAAAAAAAATCGCGAAAAATCTGATGTTTTCGAAAAGTTACAGACATTTTTTTTTCTAAAATTATAACATAACATAACTTGTAGGAGATCAACAAGAAAAACTCAATAGTGAAGGGAAAATTTTATTTCTGGGCATGATAGTTTTTAAATACATTATTAGCTAAAAAGCTTGCTCGTTGGCTTGTCCATCTCGTTTCAGGTCTTGCTTGCGTTTCGCTTGAAGATGTTTTTAGGAGTATCAAACCGTTGAAATGTCATTAGAAAGCTGTAATTGCAATTGTAATCATTCACAAATGCCTTTTTTTTACCTTGATTTGTTTTCCGTCGATCTTGTTTTCCTCTGTTGCTACCGACTTCCGATGTACTCTAAACAATCATAAATGGAGCAGAATGTGCAATTTTTTCGAGGGGATTTCTTTGTTAGCCAAGTTAGCACAATATCTGGGCACAATCATGTGGTTTCTTTATGTAATTCACACCGTCATGGGGCATTTTAAGATTTGTAGTGGCAAAACTTCTCTAAAACTGCCATTCAGTTTGCAATCTTTTTCCCAGTGCCGAACTTTTGCCCATCGGTGGAGTAAAAGTTCGTTTTGAACGCTCTTCTTAAATAATCGTTCTTGCTACGAATGAACTAAAAACTCATCAATGCTCTGTGAGAGTAAGTTGTAAACCTTGCATTAGGGATCGTGTGTATATAATTAGTTTGATTATAAATGCTTAAAGTTTCAAAATATTTTAATTTGTTCAACTGAGGTCGATGTGTTGTACCAGCTTACTCTATACACTATATTTTTGATGCCAAGATTGGCACCGCCGCCGACTAGCATTTGATTTTACTTGGTTTCTTGCCAAAACATATCAAAATTCAGCTAAGAAAAAAATCACTGTAACATTTAATGTCATATTACACGTCACGGCTCATGTTTACCACGGGCACCCGGATCTTATGTAACAGTGATTTGATCTGATTATGATCAAGTTTCGCAAAAACATGAAGATTTATTTGCCTCTATCAGCATTCTGGAACATTACGTCATACTGACAGTGTATCGCAAGGGTACTTCATTAAAAAAACTGTCAAATTTCTTATAGACCACCCTTCAGTTCGATTCATAACCCCAAAATATCAGCCTGTGCAAAAAATGCTAAAGATTGATGAAGGTTTAGAGGTCGCGCAAATGGTATGAAATTTGTATGGGTATTAATGTGGAAGAATTATAAAAATCGCTTATATCGCACTAACTTTGGTTTTAATGGTGTTGAAAAAATGTAATATGTTGTTGCTATGACAATGACCAAAAAGCTTGCTGTTGCTACGATCTGTTAAACAGCGTCTCAAGAAAGATAGAAATGCGAAAAAATGCCAATATAGGGTAGATTTTGACATATGAAAATGTGCAAGAAAACAGCACCAATTTCATGACAACAGTTCCAAATTTTTCCATCGTTTACACAACTACAACCAAAGTTAGAGATATTTATGCGATACCCAATAATTTACCATACTAATTCACCGAAATCTCCATACAATCTGCAATCCAATGGCGCAAACTCTAAACCAGGCCTGCCCAACGTTTTTGAACCGCGAGCCAAATGTTAGCTTGTGGGCTAAAAATGGAGTCGGAGTCGGTTTTTACGTGGTTTTTTTTACGCAGTACGCTTTTAAAAAATTTCCAATCACATTATCAGATTTGGGCCAAATGTAATAAAAATATATACCTTAAAAAAATCAGAAATTTAGTAGCTCACTGCCATCACGAAAATTTGCAGAAACGTGTTTATGACTGAAATAAGTCGGAAACTTTGTTATGACAAGCGTGCTACTAGGGTTCAACAATGTTACAAATTTAATTTTTTTATTTATTTTTGTTAGTGTTTAAGATATCAGCAGTCAACAGCTTAGTTAATTAATAAGAAACATAAAATTGTTAGCTGCTGTCCAACACTCGTTGCATATTGATCTTAAAAACTGAAAACCGCAAACATGGTTCTAAGTTCTCGTCTGACAAAGTTCAACGAGAATGAAACAACCCACCGGCCGAATGCGAAGACTTTTTTTTAAATTGGTTGCGCAGGCCTTTTCTAAACCTTCATCAATCTTTATCATTTTTAGTATACAGTCATATTTTAGGGTATTGAATAGAACTGGAGGGTGGCGTATAAGAAATTTATTATTTTTATTTCAATATGTAGGACCCTTGTGTATCACCCATACTCGCACTCAGTAAATCAATTCCGATGTTATTTAAATGTGATCTATGTGTAATGTTGAATTTGAAGTTTGATGCTGTGACCGTTGAGAAACTGAATATTTGTATCTGAATAAAATAAAATACATTTTTATGCTACATATATTTGAATGTTTATTAACTAATTTTTTACCATTATCATTTTAGGTTAATCATGTGAAAACAGATTCCTCAATATTCCGATTACACACCAATGCAACCGTTGTGCTTTTGGTAACGTTCTCAATAGCAGTAACAACTCGGCAATACGTCGGAAATCCAATAGACTGCGTACATACACGGTAAGTAGTATTTAATCATTGTTCAATAAAAACAGCCAAATCCACATCTTGCACCCATCTCTTTACAAGTTTTATAGGGTTTTTTAATATAATTTCCGTTCTACTAAGCACAATCCGCACTCTCTTTTTCGAACCGATTTTAACCCAAAAAAGGAGTGATTCTACTGAATTTATTTACCGTTCTATACGTACCGTTGGATTTGATAAATAGTCACAAATTGTTGAGATATTGTTAGAAATCTAACACTGCTTCTTGATTCTAAGTTTGTTCCACGAATTTCGATTTCATCCTAACACATTGAAACGCCATTGGTTTAGATATTTAGAGTTTTCTTCGTTCTACGAACGAACAAAGAAAAAAAAATTGCTATGAGCGCTTCTTTTGTTTGAGAACAATGAGTGTAAATAGTCATACATATAGTCATAAAAGCTCGTTTAGGCATTTTTGTGGCTAAAGCATCGAAACAAACGTATTAATGATTCGTGCATGGTGAAATTATTGTTATTATTGATAGAACGGAAATGGGCGATTCCGACGAAGTAGCACTATACCCTACATATACTTATAAAAATTGATAAATGTAAGCATAATGTAAATGTAGCAGATATAAATTATCCTGCAATCTAGTACAACGCACAATGTAATGTTAAAGCCTGGTTTGTTCTAAGATTTAAATTTAGATGCTGTTTAATTCTTTAGCTGGACATTAAGTCGTAATCTGATGTTAATATATGGAATTTCTATGCCATCTAAACACGTCTACAATATTTATTAGCTTGTTGACTGTATTAACTCTCAATTTCTCGATGTTCTATATGTATTTCGATATTCCTGCCTATCTCGATGATTTGAGCAGTGCCTTCGAATTCCTTATTTATTTATCAAAATATCAATCAATCGTTCTAAAAGTCAGGTGTTTATTTTACCCCCACTTCCTTTACGAGATATACAAATGCACTTTTTGAAGCCGAAGTACTTCCATAACCGTACTAGTAGGCAAATAATGATTCCTTTATAATCGAGCAATGGATCTTTTTTTTCCATTGATTTGTTTTCCGTCGATCTTGTTTTCCGCAGAGAATAAGAGATGTGCGAAGACTGAAGCCCAAAGTTCCAATCGAGCAATGTAAATAAACACGAGCGCTTCACCAAGAAAAAAGCGTGGGGAGTATTAAGATTGGGGTTGAATTTAAATTTTGAGGTTGGTTGGTTGGTTGGTTGTCTTTATTAATTGTTAAGATTTAAAAAGGTAATTATAATTAAGTTTGCGTATGAAAAGTGAAATTGGACACCATAAATAAATTTTTATGGTTATTTTGCTTAACGACGTGTTCGGGGTATCATCCAAACCATTTGTGAAATAGTTCTATCATTAGGGTTATCGTTGGTTTATGGTATTGTTTATTAGGGCTGAGCTGGAATATTATTGTCACTCAGAGTTGTCAAAAATTGATTGAATACCAATACTACCGATACGGTTAAAAAATTATTCATTTTTTGCAGATGACAGTCGCTCAAATTAAAAGTCACTCGAAGTAATCACAAAATTGCGGGTTGCCAAACCTTGCAGAAAAATAACTTAGTTAGCCGTGCAACCAGAATTACATTTATTCTCTCCGCGCGTCTCTTATATAACATCCTCTCTGATTTTCCGTACTGAGTACCTATGCTACCGACGCCAGGGAGATAGCTCACACACCTGGACCCTACTTATCAACCCGTAAACCCATGGACCAACGGCTTTACTTCCAGAAGGAAGGCGTGATCAGAGATTTTAGAAATGGAACTTGGCTGTATTTTGTAATTGTATATTTCATGCAAATCATCATCTCTACTCATCACTCCACTGCGTCCTAGCAAGAAGAACGGTCCACTTGTTTCGTGCTCCGTTGTTTTGGAAGTTTCCTCGCTATTCTCTCGTGTCTATTATAATTTTTTTTTCTCGCTTAGTGATTCCTGACATAGCTCCCGGTAAATTAATCCGAAGGTGAGTTTTTTTTTTTCGGAGAAGAAAGTGTGGTTTTCGGCATAATCGCAAGAAAAGATTAATCGGTGCGATTGGCAATTCGAAAACCACATAGCACATTATCGTTGCGTGGTCACGCATACCCGCTCACGAGTATGAGCACCCGTCTTTACATCTTCATCGTTCATCCATCATTGTGTGTACAACTGAGTGCCGAGCGTCAACCAAGCACACCACAACGAAGATCGCCCTCGCACGCGCATCGTAGAACACCGACATATATAACGCTCGGTGGTAGTAGAATAGGATTAACAGATATGTTTTTGTTCTTGTTTCTTTATCTAGTCAATTAGTTAAATTTTCATTTTGTATTCTGTGTTTATAGTATGTTCTGTGTATTCTGTCTTCCACTAGTACGGCAAAATGGACATTCGGAAGACGACCATACTTTGCCACTCGATGGTAATATGGGTCGAAAACGCACGCCATTTTAAAAGAAAGATAATACGATCCCTGGTTCGTCGTCTCAGTTTGGCAATGGACAGGCTCAGAAAGCTCTCGATCGCGAGTCTACCCGGAAGACTCAACTGGCCCATGGGTTGTCTACTTTCAGCCCAAAAATAATGTTATGCAAATCAGTCATGATCTGACACAGCGGTTCTTGGCCGTGACCGAATTCTCGAAGGTTAGGCACAATAAACTTCGTGTTGTCATCTCCAACCTGAAGCAAGCTAACGAGATTGTTGACTCCCAGCTCTTTACGCTCGAGTATAGAGTTAACATCCCAGCACGTGATGTGGAGATCGAAGGTGTGGTCACTGAAGCGAGTCTGACCCCTGAGATCTTGGCGAAGCAGGTGGTTGGCCGTTTGAAACGCTTTGAAAAAAAAAAATCCATTATAGAGCTCTACGTGTTTTGTCCAAAAAAGTACCATTCTGCCCCAATGTGTGGCTGTACCTCACAAAAAAAACTGATTGTTCTTAATTTTAAAATCGATTTCCGCCATATCTGACGATCAATATAAATGTGCAATTTATTGCAGAAATTAAGGTACACTGGGGGAATGGGAATTTTAATCTAGTGGTATGATTAAACTTATTTTCCAGTTCCAAAAACAATGGAAATTTTAAAAAACTGAAAAAGATATTTAACAATGTGAAAAATGGTCGGGTTTTCCACATTCTGCCAAATAAAGGGTGTCCACGTAATTTATGCACCACTGACATTTGCACATAACTCATCCTGCATACGATGAAAAATTACCAAATTTTATTGAAATTTACTTCAACGTGTATTGTTTAAATTTTGTAAGTTTGGTGTTATTCTGTTGTGAAGATTTCAAAATTGAACCGAAACAGCAAAGCAACCGTGCAAAGATTTTACTCGCAAACCGTGAAAATTCAACATTATCCTACTGTGAACTCGGAAAACAACTCGGGATAGTGCAGAGGAACTACTGTTTCAAGAGTGCTAAAACGATTTGATGAAGATTAGATCATCGAACACAAGCTAAAAACCAGGTACAGTAAGCAAAAACGTCCAACAGAAGGTGGTGCGTGCATTCAAAAGTAATCCGAATGGTTCGGCAAAGCAAGCCCCACGCTTATCATAATATTGACGCAAATAGGAATTATTGACACAAATATTGATGATGTAAATACTGAAATATTGTAAATATCGATGTATTGACGTCAATATCGATGTATTGACGTCAATATAGAATGTACAATTATTGTCAATCAGGGTTACTTCCACTCTCTTGCTATAAAAAAATGTTTTTCGGAATTATGAAATCATGAAATAGTATAATGCTAATTAGTACATGTAAGTTACAAGAATAGGTCATGAAGTATATGTTTGACACATAAAATCTGTCAATATTGCTTTCAGTGCGTCATAATCAACGATTTTACGACTAGTGAGCGCTCACTCTGAGTGAACGCTCACGAATCATAAGATCGCTGATTGTGACGCTCGCGAAATTGACAGGTTTTATGAGTTAAACACATACTTTACACCCTCTTCTTGTTACTTACTAGTACAACATAGCATTATAACATCTAATGATTGCATAATTCCGAAAAATATTTTTTTATAGCAGGTGAGTGGAGGCAATTGTGTAGGATTCACTGAAGGGATGTGGTTATAAAGTTGCATGTTTCAAAAAGTTATGTTCAGAATGTGAAAGGTCGTTCTGAATTACATACGTACAAGGTCCAGAAGTTCCCCAATAGAGATGAACGGCGGAATTTGGTGGCAAAAACACGCACAAAAAAGCTGTATCTGGAAATTCTAACAAAATTTGATTGCTGTGTAATGGATGACGAAACATAAGTCAAAGCCGACTTTCAACAATTACTAGGCATGGACTTTTTCACTGCCTGTGATAAGTTTGGCAGATAAATTTAAGCAGCAAAAAATTCGAAGCTTGCCAAAATTTGTTTTGATTTGGCATGCAATTTGTAGTTATGTTAAAATAATTGAGATGTTCGTCACAACCGGAACTGTGAATCAAGAAATGTATCTAAATTAAAGCCTCCAAAAACGTCACCGACGCCAAGGAGGCAGCTTCCACACCCAGGCATGGAAAATCATTTGCATTCATTTCGTGCATTCATTTACATTCATTTGCCTTAACTTTTTTTATCAACAGAATTCCGCAAAACAATGTATGGAGCTTTAGTAGGTTTTGTTATTAGCTACAACTTTTGTTAACAACTAAAATTCGTATCTCTTATGTATGACGAACCAGAGCGAACAGAATCCACTACTGTTTTTCAGTGAATGTATATTACATTCACTGAAAAACAGTAACAAGTTTTGCCCGCTCTAATTCGTTATGCATAAGAGACACAGATTTGAGTTATGGGAAAAAGTTGTAGCTAATAACAAAACCTACTAAAGCTCTGTACATCATTTTGCAGATTGCTGTTGATGAAAAAAGTTAGAGGCAAATGAATGTAAATGATTGCATGAAATGAATGTAAATGATTTTCCATGCCTGTCCACACCTGCACCCAACCTATCAACCCA